GCGCGCGAGCTCGGCCTGCTGCTACTCTTCCTGTGCGTGGCCATGGCGCTCTTCGCCCCGCTGGTGCACCTGGCCGAGCGCGAGCTGGGCGCGCGCCGCGACTTCTCCAGCGTGCCCGCCAGCTACTGGTGGGCCGTCATTTCCATGACCACCGTGGGTTACGGCGATATGGTGCCGCGCAGCCTGCCCGGGCAGGTGGTGGCGCTGAGCAGCATCCTCAGCGGCATCCTGCTCATGGCCTTCCCAGTCACGTCCATCTTCCACACCTTCTCGCGCTCCTACTCCGAGCTCAAGGAGCAGCAGCGGCGCGCCGCCAGCCCCGAGCCAGCCCTGCGCGGGGACAGCTCGCGCGAGGACAGCTCACGCTCGGCCATGGCCACCGAGGACAGCCCGCAGGGGCCTGTGGGCGCCGGCCAAGCCGGGGTCCCCGCGCCCGGGGTTGGCCACGACCGTCACCTGGCCCAAGAGGCCGCTCCTCACGAGCTTCTTCAGGAATAGAAGCACGGTCCTCACCTCCCGCGGGCGACCTCGCGGGCCGGACTCCCTCCTGGTACCCACTGCATGTCCCTCCAGCCAGCGCAGCCCGGACCGCAGCCTGACTCGGGGGTGCCGGTGGAAAGCGCGCTTCCAGTCATTCCTGTCCTCTTTCCTCGTACTTCCCTTTGGAGTTTGGACTCCCTAGCCCGAAATTACAAGCCTGTAGCAAATGCCACGGGGCCACACGTGTCCGCGGGCCGCATCCTCCCGCTTCCCTGCTCTTCGGCCAAGGGAGTTCCTGGAGGGGCTGTGGGCGGTGGGGAGGCTGGGGAGGCTCCTGCTTCTGCAGCTCACCCAAGTGGGCGGCGGCGCCCCATCGGGAGGGAGGCTTCTCTGCGCATCCCTGACAAGTGACAGAAGTGTGACATTAACACAGCCACCCAGTTCCTCTGGGGAGGGGGGCGGGTCCCAGCCCTGACCGCTGACCTCCCTTGCCCACACTAGCTCCATGGGCGTCTTCGTGGCCCCCTCCTCACACATTCGCCCCTGAAAATGCCTCTGCAAAGCTCAAGGTCTGCATGTTTCCCTGTGCTCTCTGCTGGCCTTGGACACCTTTACCCTCTGGGTTCTCCAAGAGGACATGGGAGAAGGGGCCCTGGTGTGCAGCTGCTGGGAGCCTGTCCTCACCAAGGCATGAAGGAATGGGACTTTCCAAATCACGTTACTCTGTCCCTTTTCATTTTAATGAGCGGAGCCATGACACTGCAGAGGCTGCTGCCCCAGGTCCTGCAGGAGGCACACCTGGACCACCCCAGAGGGCCCCCCGGACACCTGGCACACACACCCCCATCCCCGCTGCCATCCATCACGGCTTTCACAGGGCCCCTGGCACGAGGCCAGAGCGGGGAGAGGCTGGGGTCGGGGCTAGGGTGGGGCCCTTGCTCAGAGGACATTTCCTAGGATGCTACTGCTACCAATAAACAGTGTACCTCTCCTGCCTCTCCACCGAGTTCCTCCGGGCAGCACCAGCGTCCACACCAGGTACGGGGCGTCCAGGCAAGGAGGGATTTCCTGCGCTCATGGGGAGTCGGTGCGTGTAGACAGCGGGGCACCGCTACCTGGACAAGCCCTTGCATGCAAAGCCCAGTTGTATCCTTCCGAGTCCCACAGCAGAGCCCGGGTCCCAAATCTGCAACCACACTGCACCCCGCAGGGCAGGGCTGGGAGTTCTCAGGGAACCAGGCTGCAAAGAACCCAGGGCTGGAGCTGTCAGGATTTACACAATGAGCTCCAGTTCTGCAAGGGTGGGTGGGGCAGGCTGGACTGCCTTGACAGCAGACTCGGTTTCCCTCTTCCTCCTCCTCATGCCCAGCCACGATTTGCATGCACAGAAGTTACCTGGGCTCCAGCTCCTGGGTCAGTGTCAAGTGGACAAGGGCAGTGGGGTGCAGGGAAGCTGAAATAATGGTCTTACCAGCAACCAAGAAACGTGCTGGGATCAGAATGAGCTGAGGGTCCCCAAACCACAGGGAGGCGAAGACGGTCTCCCACGGCTGACCTTGCACGGCTGCTCATACCAGCTGAGGCAGAAAGGGTCCCCTTGTATCAGATAGAGACATGGTCGGTCCACCATGGACCAGGCCAGATTCAGCACCTGGCGTCACACGTGCCTGCCCAGTGCAAACTCCACCTGCAGCTTCTCCCTACAGGGCCCTGGTTCCTGTACTGCCTGGGGCTGGGTCCCCCTCTCCTTCCCTCCTGGACCCACATACCTCAAGCCAGGGCCAGCAGACGTCTGCCAGGAGAAAGGACAGGGGAACTGGGGACCAGGGGACCCACCTGAGTGCTGGCTCTAGGCAGACTGGACCCTAAGGTTTAGCCCTGCCTCCTCCTGATTGCCACATCAGCTGACACCCCCACAGGGTGGGGCCTGGGGACCCAGAAACACACTAAGGGTGACCGCGCTTGCTCAGGAGCGGGTGACACAGCTGCTGCTGGTCCCAGGGGATCCCCACCCATGGAGGCCACACTCAGGGCTTCTGCTACCCTCTGCTCATCGGGCATGGCTGATGACCCCAGGGGCAAACGGCTTTCTCCTGTGCAGTGGGGCTCGCTGACCGTCACCATGAAGACCCCCAGAAATAACCCAAGTTGTCCCTCCAAGGTCAGTGGTAGGGGTGACCTGAGCGATCTGGCCCCTACCCCCTCCTGACCATGGGCTGCAGCGGTTCTGACTGGGACCCCTCGAAGACGAAGAGAGCCCTTGCAGCACCAGAGGTCACGGGGAGGAGAGGGACCCGTCAACCGTCTGAGAAGTGGGGAGTGCAGTGGGAGGGAAGCCACACATCTCCCACCGAGCAAGCAGACCAGCCAGCCCTGAGCTTTCCTGTCCCTTCTCAGGTGCCTACCCCACCCACCCTCAGCCTCCATAGCTGCCCCTTGCACACAGGCCATGGTCCCTCGTGCAGGACTCTGGGCAGGCCCCTGATGGCCATGGCCTCAATGTCCCTGTCTGGGTCAGGGGACCAGGAACTCGCCAGGTCCCCACAACCTGCGACCTCACACTCTGACAAAATCTACTGAACGCACCTACTGTGGGACAGAATCGTGGGATTCGTACGTGTGATGCTGACATCGCCGAGTCTGCTTAAAATGCACAGAGGCAGTGCAGGGAGGGCAGGAGACAGCCTTACAAACCCCAATTATGCTGAGAGCTCCGTTCTGGTTCCAGAAGGATCACTGACTTGGGAGGTAGGCTCCGACACCAGGTTATGATCACTCTCAGCCAGCCCAAGGCCTCTGGTTACCTGAAACCATCGTGAGCATTGGGGGGTGGGGTATGATTTGGGTCTGTGACATTCCAGGAACCACTGAACACCCCCTTGCCCTCGGGGCCGCTTTCTGAGCATGCAACCACCCTTCAGACTGACCGTGCACCCCCTGCCCCCTCCACCCACCCTGCCGGACCCATGCGTGCTTCCAGGGGACCTGGGGCGCTCAGACTGAGCACGGTGGCCCCAGGACTGAACATGCCCCAACACCAACACTGGGAGTCTGAAACCCTCCCCCACGCTTGCTGCCGAAAAAATTCCTATACTCCTTATTTCAGGGGAAAACACGTCCCACCCCTACACGCACACACCCAGACAATTTCTTCTTGGCCAGCTGGAGACTGGGCCAGCACAGGCAGCCCTGGCTTCATTCACAGCCTTCCATCTGCTCCAAGTTCTCGGAGGCTCAACAGAGTGAGCTGCACTTTGCCACTCACCCTGGACGCCGGAACAGTCTCACCACGTTGTTCCCATTTCCAAGAGCTATCCTGTTGAGAGAAGAGCTGGACCAACTTACAGGAGATCTAAGGTCGCAAAGAGTGACCTTCGCCTTTTTTGATTAGAAGCCCACTTCCTGTGGGGCTCTTGAGAGCCTGTGGCCTCCCGCTGACAGAGCTCAGGCCACAGCGCTCTCCTGGCCAGTGGGACGCGGGCCCGGCTCCTTCTGCTCCATCTCTGAATGGCAGCCCCACAGACTCTCCACACCACCTCTCTGCTCTTCAGCGGGGCCACAGGTCGGTTTTCAAGAACAGAGATGGGCTCACAGAAAAAGACACCTTTGTATATTTTACTCTTCATTTCACTGCTGGAATTTTTACTGTATGCATAATTTAATTAAAAGTTAATTTTAATTAACAAATTACCAGAAGGAAAATAAAAATCCACCCCCAAAACCGGACAAGGGTCCAGGCTGGGGATGCTGGCTGCCTGAGAGGACCACAGTGAGGGTCACCAGCGTGGACCCGCTCCGGACCAGACTCGGGGCCAGTGCTGGGGGGGGGGTGACTCCCCTCAAAATTTAAAATATCACTTCCAAGTACTTTCACCGTATCTTTTTGATATTTTTGATATCTTGCCCCAAATGTAAATTGTCTCCATGAAAAAGTAATTGCTCAGTACACACAGCTCCATCCCTACTTGCTCACTAGACCTGTCCGTTTTCCTTGAAACACTTCTCTTGGCCTTTCTTTAAACAGGACACCTCTCACCCTTTCCAGACATTCAGTGGTCAGGGCCCCCCTGGCCTGGCTCTGTTGGTCTGTTCAGGGGGCTGGTCTGTCCCGGGGGGGCTGGCCTGTCCTGCGGACGGGTCTGTCCTGGGGGGCTGGCCTGTCCAGAGGCTGTTCTGTCCGGGGTGGGCTGGTCTGTCTTGGGGGGCTGGTCTGCCCGGTGGGGGGGGGGCTGGTCTGTCTGAGGGAGTTAGTCTGTCCTGGGGGCTGTCCTATCCAGGGGGGCTGTTATGTCCTGGGGGGCTGGTCTGTCCCGGGGGGGGCGCTGGTCCTTCTGGGGGCACAGGTCTGTCCGGGGGGGAGGGGGAATGTGCCCTGAGAGAGCAGCCTGGGTGTCACAGGGGCAGAGCTGGACCCCAAGGAGAGGGCACCCACCCTTCCCTGAAGACCCCCACGGCGAAAGAAGGACGGGGACCCATGCTTCACTGTGTCCTGGGCCCCCACTCCGACCCATTCACGAGGCCACACTGGATCGCGAGAGTTTATTGAGTTAAAGGCAGCGTCCTGACAACTGAGTGCCCCTCACACTGGGCAGATGCCTCACTGCTGTAGTCGGAGACGCTTTCATCTGGAGTCATTTACTGCTACAGACACCCCGCGTCCTGTTTAAAAAGTAAACATTGCCAAAGCATCTTACAGCCCAAACTAAGCAGGACCCTCACCCAAACATTCAGGAGTTTTTGAGGAAAACTCAGGAGGAGGAAACAGCTCTGAAGAGCAGACACCACTAGAGCTTTGGCACGGCCCGTGTGAACCCGCCCCAGAGCTGCCCCTCCGCCCTGCAGAGAGAGAGCCACACAGAAGCTGCTAGAACCCTCAGACGCTGGGGGCCTGGGAGCTTGCCCAGGGCTGCTGGGCATGGCTGACATGCTCCTGTAAAACAGAGGGGGAAAGATACAGGGTGACCAGAGATGCCCATGCCTGGCCACAGCCCCCCACCTTGGAACATCACCCCAGGCCCGAGAGGAGTGTGGGGACACCTGCCTCACGTGTCCCCTCTCCTGACCAGCAGGCCATCTCCCTGTCCCGGAAGACGGACGTCGAAAGCTGTACGCTGCAGGTGCATGCAATTCCCAGAATCCAGGGGGAACGCCCCACAAGTGCGGCCATGCTCGGGGGATGGAGGTATCTACCCAGACCTGGTCCCAGGCCCCTGGCTTTCCTGGGAGCACACAGGGACAACCTGCCCCCCACCACACCCCTAGGACTCGTGGGGACCTCTAGACTCTGGTGCCAGCACCCGAGCTCACTCTGGCCAGGGCCCAGCTGGCATGGACACAGGCTTGCCCCCTCGCTGCCAGTGGGGTCCACGCCAGCATCTCCCAGGAGGAGGCCAATGCAGAAATGAGGCATAGGGGGCACAGGACACCTCTGGGCGCCACTGCCAAGCTGAGGGCCAAGTCCTGAGTCCTGTGAGGCGGCTGCACTGAAGGTGACCCGGACAAGGCCAACTCCGACCAGATAAACAAGAGCACTTGTAATGTGCGTCCTCGCAGCTTCCTTTCCACGAGCATTAGGCGCATACAAAACCCCAGCCACACCCTCTGTGCCCGGGCCCTGTCCTGAGTCACCCTCGCGTACATGTTGTCACCAGGGCGCCCACATTTGGGCCATTCTGAGACCAGGCTCTGTGCGCCAGGACCACGGGTTCTCCGGGTGCCATTGTTCACTCTTGCTCCCCAATCCCACCCATGCCGAGGGTCGCCGAGAGCCAGGCTGCAGGCCCCGGGGGCCCCTGCACGCTGACACCTGGAGGGGGATTCCTGGTGCCCTCCATCCCGTAGCAGCCCTAAGTCTGTCTTTTCCTGGGTCTGTGAGCATATTCCAAGTTCCAGACAGGTGTTTTTTGAGAGGAAGGAAGAGAACACTTGCTTTTCCATCACCCGAAAAATAGCCGCCGCCCAGCCCTCAGGTATAAAGCCCACTTGCACTCGTCCTCAGGTATGAGCACAAACGTGGGCACTCAGGCCCCCCACCGGCCCATCCCAGACCCACAGCCAAGACACCCTGTTGGGCCCCGGTGCCTGCCTGCCCCAGACAGGGAGGACAGGCGGCCGGGCAGCGCCCACGGCAGGAGGCCACATGTCCATGTCCTCCCTGCCACCTCAAAGGGCCTTGGCACTGGCAGGGTGCGCCACATGGGGGGCTGGCTTCTGGGGGTGGCGGGCGAAGGCATAGGCCTGTCCCAGGATGGCCAGGTCCACCAGCACCTGCAGCAGGCCACACACGGAGAATTGCAGGGGGGCGCCGTTCAGCAAGAAGTAGGCCGTCTTGAAGGTGTCACCGCTGGTCCACATGAGCACCATCTTGATGCTGCGGAGACACAAGCCAGGGGTCAGGGGCCACCCAGGCCGCCACCTGTCCCCCCAATCCCTCCCGTCCTCACTGTGAGGCCACGGCATGCACAGCCCCAGGGACAGGAAGGCCCTGCAGCTGTCCGGGCGGGGAAGCCGACACAGTGGCAGGGCCCACGTGGCCTCACGGGCGTTCCGTCCCTCCTGGCTGCAGGCCTGTCTGTGCCCCTCAGGAGACGCGCTGTGGCCTCAGACGGGAGAGGGAAGACCACCCCTCCCCCCACGGCATCCCAGGGCCCACCAGGAAGGTAAGGACTGCCGGAGAGCACCACTAGGCTGCAGAGACGGGCAGCCTGGGCGGGAGGGGAGGTCTTCTCATCCAGAGCTTTCCCTCCTGGCCGGGGAGCCCCCCGTCTGCACCCAGGGGTGCCGAGGACAAAACCAGAGGCTGCCGGCAGAAGCAGAGCGAACCCCTGCTCTCGGGAAGCCCTGCCTGGCCAGAACCCCCTCCCTCAAAAGATAACTGGAGGACGATTCCATTTCTGGTCACTGATGCCAGCCCCCCTTCAAACGTTTCGGATCAGTCCGCAGGGGGGCAGGGATCCTCGTGGGTGACGAGGGAACTGTCACTCACTGCCCACGTCCCCCACACACGTCTCTGCGCACAGCTTCAAGTGCCCTGGGTCCCAAGTCATGGGCACAAGCACCACTGTTTTCCTGCACAAGTATATTTAAATCAGACCCATTTCCATCAGCAGCCTGAACCTCTTACAGCTAATTAAACCAGACCACAGAGTTTGAGAGGGGGGCTGTTGCCAGGCGGCAGGAAGGGGGGTGAAGAGCCCCAAGCAGACAGGATGCACGTCAGAGCTGCCAACACCAGGCCAAGGGCCAGGCAGGCACTGAGCGCCCAGAGGGAGACAGCTCTCCACCCCTGGGCATTCTGACCACCTCTGAGCCCCAGGCTGGTTTTCATTCCTAAAACCAGGGTGAGGAGCCCCGTCCCCCTTACTCCCAGCCCGAGGACATAGCTCTGCGTCCCCTCCTCTGCCCAGTGAGAAGTCCAACCAGCCACACAGAACGCAGACGGGGAGGGGAGAGCCCTCCTGACCTTACACACACACGGCTGCTTGAGGCTTCTCTGGGCTGGTCACTGGGAAAATGGCCAAGGCCTGCCGGGCCCCAAGCAGCTTCTCTGCAGACAGGCACTCTACATCCAAAAATGCCCACGGATACATCATATTTGGCCTGTAATACTGGCTCACATCGTATTCCAAAGTTTTTGTTTTGAGTGAGCTGATAACTAATTCTGCATTTTTAAAATCCACATTATATATAATAGATCCTCTTTTTCTGGCTGCTTTCAACATTTGACTTTGGTTCTTAGCAGACTGTGATGTGATATATGTTTGGGATTTGCTGAACTTCTCCAATCTATAAGTTTATCTAACATCAAATTTGGAAAGTTTTCAGACATTCCTTCAACTATTTTTGTCTGCTCCACACCCTTCTCTCCTCTAGACTCAGACGACATCAATGTTAGATTTTTTGGGACTTCCCCTGAGTCTATTTTTCCCCCCTGGTTTTTCTCTGTTGTTGAGAATGTTATTTTTATTGATCTGTCTTCAAGTTCACAGACTCATTCCTGGGCCATCTGCATTCCACTACTGAACTCACAAAGTACATTTTTATTTGGCTTACTGTGATTTTTAATTTAAAATGTTCTGTTTGGTTCTTTTTTATAGCTTCCATTTGTTTGCTGAGATGTCCCATTTTCCATTCATTTCAAGAGTGTTTGCTCTTCTCTCTGGACCAGTTTCCCAGTGACCGTTCCCGAGCCGTTCCCGACCAATCCCCTTGGTTGATTGTGTTGTCTACTGGTTGTCTTCTCCTTGGAAAGCTGTTGAGATGTTCCTGATGCTTCCTATGCTGAGTAATTTTGGTTTGTATCCTGGACATTTTTAACATTATATAATGAGACTCCAAGTCTTATTAAATCCTATGGAGAATGTCGGGTTTTCTGTTCTAACAGGCAACTGGCATGGTCAAGTTCAAGCTGCAGGTGGGCTGCAATTCAATTCAGCTCCATTTTCAAAGCCCCTGCAGTGCCATCTGGGTCTGTACTTTGTGGGCAGCACTCAGTGGCTGGTCTGGGACGTGGGCAGTGGTCTACCCCACGATTCAGTTCTCAACGCCTTTCGGATGTAGGTTAGGGCCAAATCCATGCATGCATAGCTTGGTGGTGAGCCCAGGAGTTCACGTACAACTGCACAGGATCCCTGTCCCAAGATGCGTCCACTCCTCCATCTCCCTGACTCTGTGCCTCAGGGACACTCTTCTCCCGTGTCCTCTAGCTAGAAAGCCAGCGCTCAAGTCTCGTGGCCCTGCTGTGCACCTCCCATGGCTGATCTGCCTCTAGGTGCATGAGGTGGGAAGGTAGAGGGAAAGAGCCATGGGATTCCCCTCCGCTCTCAGGATCTTCTTCCGCTGCTGCCCCGGGGCTGCCTCCAGCTTTGAAGACCGCCGCTTCTGGACTGGGGCCTGCCTGGGGCCCCGGGGTAAGAGCAAGGCCAAAACACCAGCAGCCCCGGCTCTTGCTCACCCTTTCCCACACTCAGAGCACGGAGGCTCCACTGGGAGCACTTCCTGCCCGGCCCAGGGCAAGTCCTGAGCTCCAGGCTGTGCTGAACTCCAGGCTGGCAAATATGGAAGGGAGAACAGAGCGGCCCATGCCAGTCACACTCATGGGGTTTCCTTCCCCCACCCTGCCCACTCCTGCTGACCGCCGGAGTCCCCAGAGCTGCTCCACACCTTCTGTCCAGGCTCTCAGCTGCACTCAAGGGGAGAGATGGGCTAACCCCCGGTAGCCCTGTGCAAAAGATCTGAGACTGGTGGTTCGGGTCGGTGTTCCGCCACTGGCCACGTTCCCCGACTGGTCCCTGTAGACAACTGGCCTGGTCCACCCCGGACGAGGTGGCCGAGGAGCAGGAGGGACGGTGCCTGCTGCCGGGACGGTTCCCACACCCTGCACTTCCCAAGCTGTGCCTCTAGCTCGGTCCGGATGGTCCTGGTCTGGAGCACCAGCTGGGGATCTCGGTGTGCGACAGAAGGGCCCTCCAGGGGGCTGGAGCAGCAGGTGGAGCACCAGGAGCTCGGCCAACTGCACACTTAGCACTGGTGGGGACCACGGAGGTGAGGACACACCGGAGCGACGAGCGGAGAGAGGGAAGCAGGTCAACCAGGGGACAGAGCTGAGTCCCGCAGGCCTGGGCTGGGCCCACCAGGAGGCTGCAGGCACCTGGCCGACCAGAGCTGAGATGTACCGTCTGAACTCCACCAAGGAGGGGCCGGCCTGCCCGGGCGGGGCTGCTCTCAGCTACCATGCTCACACCCCTGCGCTTTTCCAAGGAAAACCCACACCCACAGAGCAAGCATTTCAAGGAGAACCTCCAAGAGCAACCCATGTTTCTGCAAAAGGCCGTGAAGACAAGGAGAGAAGCAACAGGGCTCAGCAAAGGAGTCCAGTTCCTTATTCCAGAATTAAGAGCTCAAGGCACAGTCTTCCCCAGAAATAGCCACACTTTAGTAGGAGACGGAAAGACCTCCCTCAAAGCACAATAAAACCTAACGAGCCACAGAGATGGTTCTAGGCCAAGCAGCAGGGTCCGTCAGGGGGCCTGGCTGGAACCTTCTCAAGTGGACCTGCTCCCCGGGGAGCAGCCGGGCCTAGAGTGACACCAGCCTGGAAAGGCTCCTCGGGACTGGGCCGCTCCTGGGGTGAGGGAGCTCCCGGCCCCCTTGAGATGGCCACCTTGCAGGGAGCTGGCCCCTCCATTCACTGGTGGCTCCAAGCGAGGCGGGACTCCACACAAAGGACCGCAGCACGCTCCCTGGGGGGCAGGCAGAAGGTGCAGCTGGAGCCAGGCCCAGGACCCCCGCCCGGTGCCCCGTCAGAGCCCTGTCAGAGCCCCCGGGCCCTGAACACACAGGTGCACTTTCTACCCCCACCAGTGGAGATGTGAGGTCACTGTTCCGGGGGGGGCTCTGACTGATGTAAGGACCATTCTTAGCTGCACAGATGCCTCACCCAGCCGTGGCCCTTGGGCCAGCATGGCTCGGGGTCAGGAATGCGACAGCCTTGTTGAGGCCCCACACCAGTGAGCCACACCCTGAGCCCCCCGCCTCAGTGGGGGGCTGAGGGTGGGGCAGGGGCACCAGTCAGGTCAAATACTATTCGAGTATTTGGACAAGCACCACCCTGAGTGGTCTGCTCATCAGGAAGGAACACCCTTGTGCACGGAACAAGGGCTCTGGATGGAGAAGCTCACACTGTCACCCCAAGACCCTGAGATGCCCTGCCCCCACGCCTCCCAGGACCTTCAAAGAGCTGTGAATTCCCATCACCCACAACAACATGGGAGGAAGGGACGAGCCCCAGAAGTTGGGGCTATCACCCTACAACATGCCAGGGATGTATGTCCTGGAGACCCCCTTCCTTGGATGGAGGAAACTCAACCAGCTCAGAGCTCCAACAATGCAGGAAGCCCAGACTGTCACTTCCCAGGCCCCAGGCCGTGTCCTTCCTGCTCAGGCTGGTAGCCTGGGAGCTGGATTCCTCTGCCCATCACCAACTCCAGCTGCTGCCTCCTGCACCTGACCGCCCCCGCCCCCTTCTACTATTTTAATCCAGGCTCCTATTACCTCATTCTTGGCTCCTGCATTTTTCCTCCCAAACTATTCCTAAAATTCCTCTCACCTCATCCTTGCCCTGTCCAGCAGTCCAGAAAGCCTCTTCCCAGTTGGTGCCCAAGAGGTGATGGCTAGACTTCCTTGCCTGCCCAGCTTCTTCCAGAGCCCAACTCAGGCATGCCAACTCCTATGGCCTCCCCAGCCCTCCCCTCACTCCCACCCCCCAGCCTAGACCCAGACCTTCCCCTTTCCACCTTTCAAAAGCTCTCCTGTAATTCCAAATCCATCCAAAACACATCCCAAAGGAGTAGGTTTTTGTGACCTTGGGTTAGACAGTGGTTTCTTGGGTATGACAACAAAAGCATAAGCAACACCCACCCACCAACCCACAAATACATTAGACTTCAGCAAATTTAAAATCTTTTGTGCTGAAAACGAAAGTGAAAAGACAACCCACCAGATGGGAGAAAAAAACTGAAAATCATATGCCTGATAAGGTTCTAGTATCCACTGCATATAAGGAACTCTACAACTCAGTAATAAAAAGACAAACAACCACATTTAAAAATGGGCAGAGGACTGGCCAAAGAAGATACACAGATGGCCAAAAAGCACATGACAAGATGCTCAACATCATTAGTCATCAGGGAAATGCAAATCAAAACCACACTGAGATCCCAGGTGACACCCACTAGGATGGCTAGAATCAAAAGGCCACATAGTAACAAGTGTTGGTGAAGATGCGTAAGGATCAGAACCCTCACACGCCACTGTAGACACAGCATGGCAGCTCCTCAAATAATTAAACACAGATCTACCATCTGACTCAACAATTCCACTGCCGGTCTATTCCAAGAGAAATGAAAACAAATGTCCACAAAGAAACTTGTACATGAATTTCAAAGCAGCATTATTTGTAATAGCCAAAAAGATGTTGAACAACCCAAATGTCCACTGACTGAAGAACAAATTTGGTATATCCATACAATGAAATATTATGGTCCAGCCTCAGGAGTGGAGCACGGATATGTTGTACATGGAGGAGCCTGGGAATGCTGTCAGGTTTTACATGACTCCATTTATGTGAAGTGTCCTTAGAGACAGCAGATCAGTGGCTGCCGAGGGCAGGAGGTGAAGGAGGTCGGGAGCGAATGAGGAGTGATTACCAGCAGGTACAAGGTTCCTTTTTGGGGTGATGAAAATGTTCTAACATTAGACAGTGGTGGTGGTTGCACAACTCTGTGGATAGACTAAAATCCCTCCAACTGTATACTTGAAATGGGTAATGGAACCCCTCTAGCTCCCATGCCTTCTCCAGGTGCACCCATCTCCCCAAATCTGCACGTCTTCACCACCTGAAGCTCTCTGAAGAGATCATCTGAATTACCACATAGATGTTTCTTATAAATCATTATATTGCAATTTATATATCAAATTTTGCTGATCCATTCATCCATCAATGGACACTTGAGTTGCTCCCACATTTTAGCTGTTGTGAATAGTGCAGCTAGAATGTGTGCGTACAAGTATCTCAGGACCCTGCTTTCAACCCTTCCAGGCAGATACCCATAAGTAGAACTGCTGGATCATATGGTGATTCTATTTTTTATTTTTTAAGGAACCTCCATACTGTTTTCCACAGGGGCTGCACCGGTGTGCACTCCCACCAACAGTGTGTGAAGGTGCCTCTTTCTCCACACCCTCGCCAACACTTGCTGGTTTTCTTTTTCTGAGAGCAGCCGTCCTACTCAGTATGAGGTGGGACCTCAGTGTAGTTTGATTTGCATTTCCCTGATGATTAGGGAAGCCGAGCATCTTTTCTTGTGCTTATTGGCCACTTATACATCTGCCTTGGAAAAATATTTTTCCAGTCTTTTGTTCATTTTTAATTGGGTTGTTTGTTTTTTTGTCATTGAGTTTTAGAAGCCCTTTCTACAGTCTTTTTTTTTTTTAATTTATTTATTTATTTGACACAGAGAGAGAGCATGAGCAGGGGCAAAGGCAGAGAGAGAGGCAGGCTCCCCGCCGAGCAGGGAGCCTGATGCGGGGTTCCATCCCAGGACCCTGGGATCATAACCCGAGCCGAGCCGAACTACAGTCTTAATATTAATCCCTAATTGGATAGATGATTTGCACATATTTTCTCCCATTCTATAGGTTGCCTTTTTGCTCTGTGGATAGTCTTTTGATGCATAAAACTTTTTGATTTTATAAAGTCTAATTTGCCTTTTTGTTTTTTCCTGTGCCTTTGGTGTCACATCCAAGAAATCACTGCCAAATCCAATGTCATGATGCTTTTCTCCTATGTTTTCTTCTAAGGTTTTAGGTGTCACATTTAAGTCTTTCATCCATTTTGAGTTAATTTTTATATATGGTGCCAGGTAAGGGTCTAACTTCATTCTTTTGCATGCGGATATCCCATTTCCCCAGAACCATTTGTTGAGAAGACTGTCCTTTCTCCACTGAATGGTCTTGGCACTCTTGCTGAAAATCATTTAACCATATATGTAAGGGTTGTTTCTGGGCTCTCTGCTCTATTCCAGTGGTCTATTTGTCTTTATGCCAATAACACACTGTCTTGATTACTGTACCTTTGCAGTTATTTTTGAAATCTGAAAGTGTGAGTCCTCTAGTATTGTTCTTGAGATTGTTTTGACTTTTTGGGGTCCCTCAATATTCCATATGAATTTTAGGACTGGTTTTTCTATTTCTGCAAAAAAACCAGAAGGATTTTGACAGGGATTCCACTAAATCTGAGATTGCTTTGGGTAGTATTGACATTTTAACAATACTGAGTCTTTCAGTCCATGAACATGGGATGTCTTCCCATTTACTTATGTCTTCAATTTCTTTCACCAGTGTTTTGTAGTTTTCATTGTATAAGTCTTTTACCTCCTTGGTTAATTATTAAGTATGTATGCTTTTCATATTATCATAAATAGAACTGTTTTTGTAATTTCCTGAGTGCCCTGCAACCTGCTCTTGGTCGCATTGGGGGATTAAGCTGTTGTGTCATTTCCTACATTAAGAAGCTTGAATCTTGGGGTGCCTGGGGTGGCTTAGTCGGTTGAGCATCCAACTCTTGATTTAGGTTCAGGTCATATTCTCAGAGTCGTGGGATTGAGCCCCGTGTCAGGCTCTGTGCTCAGTGGGGCATCTGCTTGAGATTCTCTCTCTCCTTCTCCCTCTGCCCCTCCCCTCCTACTCTCTCTCTAAATAAATAAATAAATCTTAAAAAAAAGAAGCAGCAGCTTGAATCTCTGCCTTCTAGAGATGTCTGTGAACTCAGCTTCCTGTCCATGGATCATAGCCTCCAGCCATAGGCAGCAGCAGCCTCTACTCTGGCCTGCCTCTGACCCATTGATAGTCCTTTCCCATCACAAAAGCTTGGACTTGGAAAATTGAGACCATGTGGGACTCAACTGCCAGGTTTTCCCCTGTATGCTGGATATACTAAGAGCTGCCTACAGGATCTAACCAGTAAACAGTGACAGCCCAGGTGCAGCCAAACACACAGGTGGGCTTGGAAGCAGCAGGTACCGGAGCAATGTGAGCCCACTGTGAGCATGCTGTGGCCACAAATCATGTGGTTAGCCTCAGTGAGTCTGCAGGTGCCAAGGGTCCCCAAGGAGGGGATACCCTGCCCCAGCCACTGGACAGGCCTCCCACAGCACATTCAGATCTGAAGGTGCACACTAGTCTTCTTCTGTCATGCTTCACTTGAATAGACCCATCCAGGGAGAATTGGGTAAGGAAGGGGCTATAAGCCGTATCACAGGAGGGACGGCCAGTGGACCTGAGGGGGATCAGCACAGAGAAGAGGCCCCCAGGGAGGTGGGGTCATGATGCTGCCTTCACACACACAGGACCATCCTGGGAGGGGCTGAGGGTCTGCATGGATCTCAGGGAAGAAGGCATGAGAGGTTCAGCTACTACCATGGAGCCTTTAACAGAGCCCTGCGCAGGTGTACTCACACCTGGGGAGGAAGCTCCCCATCACAGGAAGCAAGCAAGTGCTAGAGGAACACCTGGCAGGAATGACAAAGATTCTGAGCAATCCCACCCAAGGGGACCCCTGGAATTCCAGTGGACACCCTGTTCCAATGCCACAGGTGACTCTCACGGGGCCAGGACGGGACGTGGAGGGCTCCACCCAAGGCCTTTGAGACCCGTTCCATACTGGCCTCCTATGACTTGGAGGACATCTGAAGACATGGGTGGCAACAGCACATTAGCTCTGCTGTGACACACAGCTACCACCCAGAGGTAATCCCATGACATAGCCTCTACCACTGCTCGCCAGGGCCACCTCTGCACACGTCTACGCTCTGCGGGCAGAGCCTTCTCCCTTCTTATCCCCTCTCCTATGCTCGGCACATCCCTCCCACTACGATGCTTCAGGTTCGTCCTGAAAGACCCCATACCGTGTATCTGCTTCACAAGACGGTCTCAGCATCCCCTTACCTGTTCCATGCTAACACATCTGCTCATGCATCAACACATCTGCTCTTTCCCTGGCAGTTCTGCAAATATAACTGAAAATACAGCAGCCAGGTTTGTACACATTTGATTTTTACCAAACACGTGGGCACACTGGTACCAACAGGTATGGGGAGAGCAACACGTGCTGCCTACCTCATCCCCTCAGTGGACTGGTGGAGGTAGTTGCGGTAGAGCTGGGGGACACCCAGCGTGGCCTCGGTCAGCACAGCCAGGAAGCCCAGGGTCTCCACAAACAGGACTGAGTTGATGGACAGGTATGTGACGTAGCCCGCCACGCCCGTGAAGGCCAGGACACACTGCACGTAGTCCCCAAAGCTGCTCCAGTGCCAGAAGTGGTGAGGGTCAAAGTCTAGGGCGAGAGGGAGAGAGAAATGTAAACTAGGCATACAGGTCAAGGTCATCATGAGGAGAGAGGATGTGAACCGAGGTGAGGGTCAGCATGAGGAGAGATGAAAACTGAGTTAGAAAGTCAAGGTCGGGGGGCGCCTGAGTGGCTCAGTCGTTAAGCGTCTGCCTTCGGCTCAGGTCATGATCCCAGGGTCCTGGGATCGAGCCCCGCATCAGGCTCCCTGCTCTGTGGAAGACTGCTTCTCCCTCTCCACTCCCCCTGCTTGTGTTCCCTCTCTCGCTGTCTCTTTCTGACAAATAAATAAATAAAATCTTTAAAAAAAAAAGAAAGTCAAGGTCGGTGTGAGGAGAGAAGGTGAACTGAGTGAGGAGGTCAAGGTCAGCATGAGGAGAGAAGGTGAACTGAGTGAGGAGGTCAAGGTCAATATGCAGAAGATAGATATGGGCTGTGGGGCTCCATATGCTCTTGACAAAGGCACTTGTGAGGGAACCTTGATACAGATATGGATTCAATGTAGAGATGCTAAAATCATTAAATCCACTATGATACAGTGCAGGGATTGTACTGGAGCCTCTGAAATCTCTTTTCTGGGTAGAATCCTCACTCCTTCCCTCCACAACTGCATTAGTTAACCACGTGTCTCCATTTCTTTGGATATAAAAGAGGAATAACATAACCTACCTCCTACGGTTGTTGTAATAGTTACACAAGTTAATCTTATGAACCCTATAAAGTGCCCAGCCCATAATAAGGTATGTACTTATCATCACTACACACTTTGTTGATGGAACGTTATCGTTTGCTCGACAGATGTGTCCTGTGGAAACCAAACTCTAAGCACTCACAAATCAGCAAACTATATGAAGTTCCCGGGCTTTGGCAGATAAACAAGGGAGGTCCTGGGGACAGAAGTGGCTTCAGGGAAGGTCAGGAAAATGGGGACAAATACAGAGAGAACATGAGGGGGCATGATATGGCCCTTAGACTGGCAGGGTCTGGAGCCAGGGCACCCCGCCAGGGCTGCAGGCATGGGCAAGGGTGTGGGGTGGGGGGCTGGCCATCCAGGGGCCGGGAAGTACCCTAAGGGGAATATTCAACCTGCACACATGTGCCTGTCCTCCCAGCCCTGGGCCCTCCCTTCTAGCTCCACTCCCTCACTCCATATGAGAACACAGCCCAAAGTCTGAGCCAGAAAGGGGGAATGCAGGCAGGAGGGCCAGAGGAGGGATGAACACATTCTGCAGGCATGACTTCATGAACAAACCCCAGCTGCAACACGGTGGTGGCCTGAGTGTGCAGGGGAGCCCGGCACACAGAGCTGGGGGCAAACACTGAGGTATTCCTCACAGAGAACACAGAATCATGAGAGGATACAGCAAGGGAACGAATCCCAGACCTGGCTGAAGTTCCTACCTCTGTGCCTGAGGAGGGGAGAGAACTTGGGCCAGGACAGGGATGAGCTGAGGATACCAGGTGAGGGTCCAGGGGGCCTTAGGAAACACGGCCCAAGGTCAATCTGTCGGAAGCCTTTCTATTTTAGGTTCTCAAGGAGCAAGTCAATTAACAAATGACTAAAAGAAAACCCTTACCAAAAGTTTCTGAGAAAAGACTGAGGCTAAACCCTTAGCTTAGCATATACAAAAATTAATTCAAAATGGATCAAAGACCTAAACATGAGAGATAAAACTCTTAGGAGAAAATACAGAGGGAAAAAGCTTCAGGATGTTGGATTTGTCAATGGTTTCTTAGATGTGACAACAAAAGCAAGGCAACAAAAGGAAAAAGAGATAAATTGGATGACATCAAAATTTTAAACTTCTGTGTTCCTAGGGAAAAAAAGCTCTTTGACATTATTGGTCTTGGCAACAATTTTTTGGATATGACACCAAAAGTGCAAGCAACCAAAGCAAAAATAAATGACTGGAATTACATCAAACTGAAAGGCATCTGCACAGCAAAAACAACCAGCAAAATGAAAAGGAGACTTACGGAGTGGGAGAAAATATTTGCAAACTGTCACTCTTACTACAGGTTTATATCCAAAATATATATGAAATTCATACAACTCAAAGGCAAAAAAAGCCAATCGAATTAAAAAATGGTCACAGGACTAGATTAGGTCTTTTTCCAAAGCAGACATACAAACGGCCAACAGACACATGAGAAGATGCTCAACATCACTCATCATCAGGGAAATGCAGATCAAAACCACAATGAGATGTCACCTCACACCTGTCAGAATGGCTAAACTCAAGAGGACAAGAAACAGCAAGTGTTGACGAGGACGTGGAGAAAGAGAACCTTGAGCGCTGTTGGTGGGAATGCAAACGGGTGCAGCCATTATGGAAAACAGCATGGAGGTTCCTCAAAAAATTAAAAATAGAGCTGCCACATGATCTAGCAATTCCACTTCTGGAATATAGCCAAAGGAAATGAAATCACTATCTTGAAGTGGTATCTGCACCCCATGCTCACTGCAGCATTACTCACAATAGCCAAGACATGGAAACAGCCTAAGTGACCATCGAGAGACGGATGGATAAAGAAAACGTGCTGTATATAACACAATGTTCAGCCATTAAAAAGGGGGGTGGGGACAGAAATCGTGCCTTTTATGCCAATACAGATGGATCTTGAGGACGTTATGCTAAGTAAAATCAGTCAGAGAAGGACAAGTACTGTATGTTCTCACTTCTATGTGGAATCCAAAATGACAAACTTACAGAAACAAGAGTAGAATGGTGGTTGCCAGGACTGGGGGTGGGGGAGGTGTCGGGCACCAACTTCCAGCCGTATGATGAGTAAGTTCTGGGATCTAATGTACAGAATGGGAACTATAATTAACAGTACTATGTTATACACTTGGAAGTGGCTGGGGCACCTGGCTGGCTCAGTTCATGGAGCGTGCGGCTCTTGATCTTGGGCTTGTGAGTTCAGGCCCCACTTTGGGTACAGAGTTTACTTTAAAAAAAAAAAAAGAAAGGTGTAAAGAGAGTAGATCTTAAATGTTAAAAAAAAAAAAAGTAAGGGGTGCCTGGGTGGCTCAGTCGTTGGGCATCTGCCTCTGGCTCAGGTCATGATCCCGGGGTCCTGGGGATCAAGCCCCGCATCGGGTTCCCTGCTCTGTAGGAAGCCTGCTTCTCCCTCTCCCACTCCCCCTGCTTGTGTTCCCTCTCTCGCTGTGTCTCTCTGTCAAATAAATAAATAAAATCTTAGAAAAAAATTTTAAAAAGGGGCACCTGAGTGGCTCAGTCGGTTAAGTGGCTGCCTTCGGCTCAGGTCATGATCC